TAATCAACCTTCTACATTCTTAGACCAGGTGTTATAGAGGATGATTTATCAATCTCCACTATTGAACTGAACCAATCACACTCGAATGGAAGTTATAACATCAATTTCCTATAAAAATTAATTAATGGACTGGATAAACTGCACAATATTCTGTGCTAGTTGCTTAAAGGCATATTTCATTAATCTTCAAAGTAAAAAGAAAACAGCAGGTTTGTGTGTCCAAAATACGGTTCACGTTGTTCTTGTTACTAAAAAAATTGGTCATTTTAAGAGCATCCCACTGAAATCCTTAAATTTTTTAACAAATACAAAATTTCCCACTGTTTCAAGTGACAACTATTAGAACTCTGTAATTGGAATTATTCATCAGGATTCTATCCAACATTTATGATTTCCTCTAAAGACAGTACAAAGCAGATCTTATAAAAAGCCTCTGCTAGCATACTGATAACAACAATGGAGGATTAATCATTTTTGCTATAGCAACCACTGCGCTGCAATTACCATAGTGACATGAGAAGAACAGAAAAAGTAATGAAGAGCTCTAACTGTTTGGAGCAATGTGTCAGCCAAATAAGTGCAGAATTCTCTACTGCCTGACTCTGCTCACCTTAATTAACTGAAATGCCATTTGTAATAACTATACCATAGAGCATGTCTTATTTATTTTTAAAAGGACAATACAAATATGTCAATTGTTCCCTGTCCTTTCATCAGGTAATGTGCAAATCATTACTATCATGTAACAGAGGGGAGTGCTACTTATTTTAGAAGTTCCAATTTAGAAAAAGTCTAAGTCTAGTATTTATTATCATAAATCTATTGATATATACACCTACTTTTGCATATTTTTCCATTAAAATATACACACACATACACAGAAATGTACTAGACCTCACAGATACAGCTGTACACAACTCACAGAGCTATATACAACTCACAGAGCTGTATACAAGCATACACTTGCATTTCTTCATGAGAAAAGAAAAATTATTCCAGTACTTCAGCAAGACTTGGTGCTAAGATTACTCTAACATCTGTGATAGTTTTTCATGAGTCACCTAATGTCTGTTTTTTCCAAGTCCACTTATCTAAATAATTTTTACTCGATAGCTAGTTCAACCTGCTTAGTTTAAGAAAGAAAACCTTGCCCCAAATTAGTTAGTTGCTTTTGGAGGCTCTCAGTCAGGATCTTATTCAAATCTGCCCCCTTCTTTCAAACAACAGGTAAATACTTAAGGCTGGAAATGGAACTTCAAATAAAACTTTCGGAATCAGGAAATAATGCTCGACAAAGTCACCTTTTGAAACAATACACGGTTTGCTGAGATGTAGGTGAGATCAATAAATCAGAATCTTGTACTGCAGAAATATACCAGTGTACAAAAAGGTGGGTGTAAATGAGAAGGCAGCAGCACAGGTGGCAAAATGCTCAAGCTCATATCAGGACCTGACATCATTCCAGAGTCTAATATGCACAAGGTTTACTAAATGAGAAGTCACAGAGAGTGGAAGCACAGAGAAATATGAAATACTTTGAGACCTATAGCAAATGGCAAGGCTGGCACATCAGCAATTAGGTAAGGAAAATTCGAGGAAGGAGAAGAAAACAGAGGCAGGCAGCACAGAAGTACGAATGTAGCAGGCTTGCGACTGTATATTGAGCTTGTTTCTAGTCACAACAGCTGTATTCCAGAGCCAGCAGTGAAGGTGCTTGCAGCATCCACAAAGCAGTGTGAGTGGATTCTGTATGCTCTGCTTAGTACCTCAGATAGTTCGCCAAAAGTTACTTAAGTAAAAGGTGGCACAACCTTCTAATGCCTCTCATTTTACATTTTCATTGTGGTATTTTGATGGGTTGTGCAATACAACATCTTTCAGGGTCCATTACAAATAGCCAAGCAGCAAACAATCATACCTTGACTTACTTTGATTTACGGCAATCATTATTTCATCATGTTTGAAATGGAAAACTGAAAAAAGATGTTCAAGTCTGACAAACTATCTCTAGCAAGGCATTTTCTTTAACTTCAGCTCACTACAAGCAGAATCTAGACGCTAAATACTTACTTTCTGAAGTACCTAAACATATGCAGAAATAGCACAGTGGGTAAAAGCAGTTACTCTGATAGCATTATTAACATGAGCAGAACTCAAGATTCTCCTTTGCATTGAAATTTTTTTTCCTCCTACCACGCGTTATATAGCCACTAACACATTACTATTTAACTGTTGTTAGGGTTTTTTTGATGGTGGTGGGATGTTATTTAACTTCCTTCAAATTCCATTTCATTAAGAACATGGCACTTAGAATTACATCCCTTCATTACTCATACATATCGTTTTAGTACCATGTTTACTTTAATAGTCTCTAAAATGAATGCCATCCAGAGGGACCTTGACACACTTGTAAGGTGGACTGATGCCAACCTTATGAAGTTTAACCATGACAAGTGCAAGGTCCTATACCTGGGCCAGAGCAATCCCAGGCACAGCTACAGGTTGGGCAGAGAAGAGATTCAGAGCAGCCCTGCGGAGAAGGACTTGTGGGTGCTGGTTGATGAGAAAATGAACATGAGCTGGCAGTGCGTGCTTGCAGCCCGGAAAGCCAACCATATCCTGGACTGCATCAAAAGGAGCATGACCAGCAGGTCGAAGGAGGTGATCCTGCCCCTTTACTCTGCTCTTGGGAGACCTCACCTGGAGTATTGTGCGCAGTTCTGGTGTCCTCAACACAAAAAGGACATGTAACTGCTGGAACAAGTCCAGAAAAGGACCACAAGGATGATTAGGGGACTGGAACACCTCCCGTATGAAGATAGGCTGAGAAGGTTGGGGCTGTTCAGCCTGGAGAAGAGAAGGCTGCGTGGAGACCTCAAAGCAGCCTTCCAGTATGTGAAGGGGGCCTATACGGATGCTGGGGAGGGACTCTTCATTAGGAGCTTTAGTGACAGGACAAGGGGTAATGGGTTAAAACTTAAACAGGGGGAGTTTAGATTGGATATAAGGAAGAAGTTCTTCCCTGTAAGGGTGATAAGGCACTGGAATGGGTTGCCCAGGGAGGTTGTGAGTGCTCCATCCCTGGCAGTGTTCAACGCCAGGTTGGACAAAGCCTTGGGTGGCATGGTTTAGTGTGAGGTGTCCCTGCCCATGGCAGGGGGACCGGAACTAGATGATCTTAAGGTCCTTTCCAACCCTAACGATTCTATGATTCTATGATTCTCTTTGCATGCATTTGTTAAGTCCTTGCATGCCTCCCATTGTATTCAACCTTACTAGAAAGACTGCTCCATAACTGCCTCACATTAGTGCTTTGCCTATTAATTTGATTGTAATTAGCAGAGCAGAGTATTAAACAATTGGTGATGGAACTCCAAAACAGCAGACCCCCACAGCTAAACTAGCTATACCAGCCACTGTCTTTCACAACCTTAGCTGTACCAAATCCACACGGTGCCCCACACTGTGCATTCCATTTATTCACATTTTCAAAATTTTAACTTTTATATTTGAACAGTTTGACTTCTCAAAGATATCCCAGGGTTTATTAAAAACCCATTAATTGTCATAAATTTCTAAAATTATGATATGTCATTCAGGTTCATTAGCTACCTAACAGAGATAAAATTAGCATACATGAAGACTGCTTTCCACATTGCCCTTGTTAAAATAAAATAAATCTAAAAGAACCTTTCTACTTAGCACCTATTAAGACACATTATTCAGAACATCAGCTTGGAAAATGGTTACCAAAACCCCAACACATTAACACTTTTTTTCTATAAACTGCAAAACCTGTATCATCAGAGATTATATACACAAGTGGTTATATCTATAGATCAGCAGTAAAAGTTTCTAGAAAATGTGTTAAACATTTCACAGAAGAACGTAAAGTTCAGCTTCTACTTTACTTCAGTTACTACAGATCTGTAAACCTATTCGTAGTTCATAGATGAGGATGTAAGGATAATTACCTACCCAGCAGAGGTGCCTTCTAGTTACGTGTCAGTAAACTGCTTTGCTAGAACTCTTAAGAATACTTCTAAATGGCAGCATAGGCAAGAAAACCAGACTCTGGACCTAATACAGACTCTGTCTTTTGATTTAAAACACTGTAATTTTCTTTAAAACATATTTTAAACCAACAAGTTTACCACTTGACAACAGTCAAAGACAGGCTTAGTCTCACAATTAAAAAGTGTATTAAAAAATTAAGTTACAATATTTATACAATAAATTATTTACATTCAATACTGTTAGCAGAATTGGGCCTGTAGCACTCTTCCTTGGGTTGCAAAATTTTATTTTAGTGCACAGGGAAGGTTTTTTTGACTACAAACACAAAATTTACAGTTCTCCATAACATGAGACACATTGATAAGCCATAACAGATTGAAAATGTACGTTCCAGTACAAAAATACAGGCTTCTGCTAATCCCTACAAAAATAGCTTTATAAAGAAATTCAGTTTTATTTCAGTCCAAAAGCCTTCCAGAATTTTCAATTAAAAGCATTGAGGTTTTACCATGTTTCAGCCATATTTACAAGTAGTTTTTAATTAATTTACATTTTGGCTCTATTAGTTTGTACAACTGAAGAATTTATGAATATTTATTTAATAACTTCTGAACAAGATTACGGGGAAAAAAATAGTAACTAAATACATCTGATAAAAGTAACTTTGGCGTTGTACCATGGTTCAAAGCAGCAGTCCTTATGTGCGGTACTCAAAAGTAGATATATGTGATGCAGAATGTACTGGGATAGTAAAGTTGAACTAAGTTTCATTTATTAATAATTATTCCCAGATATTTCAAGATTTACAGACAAACAGATACAACACCTCAAAGTAAAAAAAAACCCAAACCCAAAAAAAACAAAAAAACCCAAACCAAACAAACCTTTTAGAGCTAAATATCTTTATTTGCTCTTTTATTTACAGTATTTAACCAAAACATGCAAAAGAAACATTCAGGATAGTTTAGAAGAACAAAACTCACCAAAATCTGCAAACACGGACTGTCCAACAACTTTCACACCACTAGGCATTTTCTGAATTTTTTCAGCTTTAGAGAAGTTCCCATCCTATCAAATAGGACAAAGATGAAAGAAAAACTGAACTGCAGACTAAGGGATAAAATTTGACTTTTGAAGCAAAAGGCAATAAAAAAGTGCTGAAGCAGATAAAGTGACATCTCAGCTATGGAAAAAAATGTGCTATTTGAAACTTGGGACTGAGTTTTTGCATTTCTAATCCTTCATGGTATTTTATGGAAATCCAGTAATAGTAATATTCAGATACTAATTGTCCATATATTTTGCCGTATTATGCAGAACAGATTGGATTATTTCAGCAACACAATCTAAATCATAACTGATTGTACATACTAATGCGCATTTATGCATATTGACGTGATTTTATAGATATATGCACACAAAAAACCCAAACCTGCACACCTGTTAAAAGTAACTTCTGATCCTTCTAATTAGGAAATAACTTGATTTTACATTAGGTCTGGTTTAGGTCTCATTTTATATTTCTGTTATTAAAACCTAGGTCTGCAGAGAACAATATTCCAATACTTCATCACAAAGACAAAATAGGAGTGTTGGCTAGATGCTTGTTTATCACAGAACTGGATCACAACTGAAAGAAAACCATTTAAAATGTTAAGTTTTCATAGCCATTTGAGATGATGTAAGGCCCACTTTTCTAGTCATTGCAATAAGCTCATATCAAGTTCTCTGCACACAGGCATACACGAAGCCATTGAGAAAATGACAGTTTTGTGGATTTTGTGTAATTATCCATATTGTTTATTCATGGCATACTCCATCTGCAGACTGTAGTGCTGCTGAAGATGCAACTCTGGAAACTGTTAGTACATGAATGTTTGACTATTTATCTTCATCTTGACATACGATTTACAATGACTCTGATGAGGAGGGGGAGAGGAGAAGATGCAAATCATCTCCAAACAGAAAAGATGACCACACCCTGCGCTCAGTTGGCCAGAAAAGCATATATCATATAGGCAAATATTTTTCAGTTCATTTTATGGTGCATCAGTACAATGAAATACATTGCCTATGTTTGTAGAGCCATTTAACAGCTTTTAATGGATTAATTCATATATTTTAAGATTGACATATATGTACATGTTTTATATGTATGACATGTTTACTGTGTTGACTGATTCCATAAAATAAAATTCCTTCTTTCTCAAGACAGGAAAATCTATGCACGCAAAATTTATCATGTAGGATAATATTTACAATACATGAAATTGGAAAATCCAAAAAATGTAAGAAAATTTTGAAAAAAAACTCACCTACAGGAGACAGGTCAAAAGTTTGTGTAATCACTAACATTTAATTTCTTAAGAAAGCGTAAGGTGTCCCTGCCCATCCCTGGTTGGAACTAGATGATCTTAAGGCCCTTTCCAACCCTAATGATTCTATGATTCTAAGAAAGAAATTAATCAAAATAAAAAACTATTCATAATTTAAGTCTATATAAAAGCTAGAAATAGAGAATTCATGACCCACTGCTGTAAAAGAAAAAAAAAATGTGTCTAGTACAGCTTTCTGTGGATGGATTTTTAGCAAAGAATGGCCACGTTCCCAAGTCAGCAAGTGCCTACATGGAGCTCGACATGAACCAAGGATGAAGGAGGACATGGTTAAAGAAGCAAAAGTAACAGTGCAAGCAAGGTAAGAAGAAACTGGACTGTGCTATCTACAAAATAGTGGACTGATAGCAAATTTTAAACGTTAAGTTCTCATACGCTTATTTGATTAATAGTTACTAGTTGCTGTGTGCTGCAAGAATATGTATCCAATTATAATACAGCAAGCTATTGTAAGCAGATGCAGACAACAGTATAAAAAGGACTGATGCTCTATAATAAATGGCTTTTGTCTGATCACATTGATGTCTGACTGAGTCCATATTTTTTCTGTGACAGCTTTCACTACTTTTCATTACTTCTGCCTCTCGTTTTTTTTTCCTCCTTTCCTCCACTTCAGCAGTTCTGTTGTCTGCTCTACAGTGACTCACTGCCGTGTAATGGATAAATTTTCAGGCAAATAAAGCCTAAAAACCTAATTCCTTAACTAATAAGAAACATGTGAAACACCTCCTGTTACAACAAACAAGTAAACTTTCAACATACACATGCTAAGATTATTAATTATAGTCCTTTTTTGATAACAGATTTCATGTAAAGCATACATTTAGTTTCAAATCAACTGATTTCATTAACTGTTAATAACAATGAGGTTTTTCACTAATCCCTGCCCAAATCAAGCAATACAAAAGCAGGATCTCCATAAATAAATAAAAACAACCCACTGACCTATTGCTCCCCAACCCTGAACTGCATTTGTGGTGTTTGGTTAATGTAGAACTCAGGATTTTCTCAACTTTGACTTGCATACATACTGTAACAGAAGAGAGATTTTGAACTTCCTTCCCACAAAATCTTATCCAAGACATGAAGTCATAGCTCTAAGAAAGCTTAAAAGAAATTAGCTCTTCGAGCCAGTAAGTATAAAGAAATCTGATCAGCTGTTTCTTCATAAATTACCACGCTAAGTATCAGTAACCTAGAAGAGCTGATGACACAGCAGAAGTGCAGCTAAGGTGAATGAAGGCAGTCTGATTGAATTACTTAAGTCATGTTAAAAAAATCTGCAGAGGAGCTTATGCGGAGAAAAACATCACCAGTGATATTCTGGAGTCTAAATGAAATAGTGCAGTTAGTGCCTCAACATCAGTTCCACTCATTCCTGAAATAATAAATATCAGATAACTTTTTTCTTTTTTTTTTTAAGCTTCTCTGTATTTTAGTAGAATGATTGAGTTTTCACTCTTACCTTATTTACCCATGTCTCAAACTGAATGTTTTCTGAATTTGGTAATGTAGTAAGGAACAAATCTGCAAAGAAAAAGGCAAGAGAAATAAAATATTTAACATTAGACTACACACATAAATATTTGATCACTTAATAAAGATACATATTTAAAATATATTACCTATAAGTTATAAATATATTAAAACCTGGTGATGTTTAAATGTATACATATATTAAGCAAGAAAGATTAAATACAAAAAAAAAACAACCTCCCCTCCCTCCAAAAAAAAACCCAAACAAAAAAACCCCCAAGAAACCACACCACCAACTATTTTTATCACCAGATACTATTCTGTATAATCAATACACTTTCGGCACTGTTCTGCATTTTATAGTTTCTGCACAAATTAATTTTGTGTTACGAGCTTTTAAGTGCTGGATATTATATATGCACACTGAAGAACTTTTCTTAATGGTAAAGAGAGACAGACCTCAAAGCTAGAAAAAAGTATAAACATTTTTGACTTACTAAAAATATGACTTTTTGACTTACTAAAAATATGACTTTTTGACTTACTAAAAAAATAAAATGCTACCAAACATGTTTATATTCTGTGGATGCTGAATTAAGCAACAGATATACTGTTGACAAGAGTAGAAAAGGAGATGGAGAAATATTTCAGGCTTAACCCTACTTTTCGGACACAGCCATTGTGAGCTCACTCCAGCGTTGGTAAATTACTCATAAGAGAGTATGGATGGTTACTGTGTATCACATACACATACATTTTGTAAAAGCATGCAACAGATTTGCAATGGATTTTTCTTATGCATTTGAAAAAATAAAAAGTTTTTTTTCCACTCTTAGTCTGAAGCATATTACATCAGGTTTTCTCCTCCCTCATTTAATCTGATTTTGTAGTAAGTGTAGAGAAATACCGAGAAATATGGCTGCACAGGGAATTGAAATAATGCAGGAAGGCAAGAAATGACAGGTATATAAAAACCCAGATGTTGGGACCAGAATCAAAAGTACCTTTAAAATAAACATTAAACTAAGTAAAAAAAAATAAAAGGGGTGATGTCACACAATTAATAAAATCAAAGAATACATTTAGCTAGCTGCAGTGTAGAAGGAATAATTCAGGATACTAAAATGCAAGTCAAACTACGAAGAGCTAACAGAAATATGATAACTTAAAACATTTAAACTGTTTACAATGTTCAATATGCAGAAGTGCTTACAGATTTAACATCTTTGTTCAGCTGCTGTACAAACCAGGTCCCTTAATGTGAACATTTGTTCCGCATTTTGAGAGAAAATAGAGCTATGCTTTCAGATTCTTATTGGAACTACAAGAAAATAGCAATAAAACATAACTATACAGAATCTGCTTCCTGTTCTCTTCTGATTATTCTTATTTTCCTTCACTCCCGAGTGTTATAAAAACTGCTACTATTTATAGATGGAGGGTTCATGTCACTAATGACTGATTTGACCTTTCTGTTTAATGTCATAGGGCTTTATTTCAGAATTACACTCCTCAGCATCTATGGTTGTCTTCAGAAGCCATCAGGGCATGAGCAACATTCTTAAGTTACAGCTTGATTTCACGTTTATATCACAGAAGTTTTAGTTACTAAGCAGGGAAAAAAACTGCAACCAACCAACCCTTTTTTAAAGGCAATCAAAATGCACAAAGTATTACCCGGTTAGCACAGCAGACATGTATGCTCCAAACATGCCTAAACATTTTTTTTTTAATTAATGTGGCAGAACAGGTGCGTGTGTGCGTGCATGTTTTTTAACTAGCAGTTACCTGTGGATATGAGCTCTCCTGCTTGTATGTCTCAGTACACATAAATTATGTGCTGATGTAAAAATCTCTGCATTTTAGTGCGCTGACAGCATGGGAAAGGCAACAACTGTACCAAAATCATTAAATGTCATAAATCCTAAGGTCAGGCAAAAGGTAACTTTTCTCTACAATAGAAAATTTCCTCTATCTACATCACAGATTGACCCACCCGTAGGAAAAAAAGTATTTAAAAGCTAGATTAAAAATGTTATTTACAGTTGATTCAGTTCTATGTATACAATTAGTTGTGCAGTAATTTTAATACCCACAATTTTGTAAAAAAAAAGTTAGTGTAGTCAGTTTTATTTCTCTACAGCAAGGAATTAGAAAACCAAACCTGATAACAGAAGCACAAAACTCTTCAGTTTTTCAAGCAGGCAGAAAAACTCTCTACCATATCATATTCAGACTGGTTTGCAAGTTGGCATTAGTAGTGTAGTAGAGAAAATTAATATATGTACTGCCTACCTACAGCTATATACAATATAGATAAAGTACCAATGCTAATGAGTTTGCTGTTTACTTGTCATGAATTTTTCGTGCTAGTTACACCAAAACCTACTAGTGAAGGAACCACACCTTCCAGTAACAACTTCCTCTGAAAAATTTAAGCAAAACAAAAGGACTTTATATGCTCCAAACAAGGTAATATGTACTTGCAAATTTTTAAGAAACGTGCTTATAATAAACAAGGTTGTGAATTTACCCTGTTTTTCAAATGGGTCTTTCATAATTTAGTAAGTGGTTACTGGAACTATTTAGTAAAGCTGATGATAAACAATTATAGACAACACAGGCACTAAAGTCCCTTTCATTATTAAAAATTACTACAGAAAGAATCCATATGTATTAATTTTAAAACATCACAGGGAAAAAATTATATTTATACTGAATAGTTATGCTTCTGAACAGGCAGAGCAGGTGGAACTATTCCTCTAGTTTTTAGCACTTCACGCATGAGTTTTCTTACAGAAACTTCTGTTTATTTTCAGAATAAAGGCAACAATATTGTTTCAAGCAATAGAAGATGACCATTCAGTATCAAAGTGTGCTTTCAGAATCCATTTTCACATTCATGCTTTCTCAACAAAATGCTGTTTGAGGCATATCCAATTTACTTCTTACAAATATTAAGTCGTGAATTCCCACAAAAATATCGTATTAGTACCTCCTTGTGTATACAATTTTATCAGTAAAAATTTTCAAAAAGAATAGCTTTCGAGACCCTTCTTACTTCTTTTAATTTTAAAATTAAACTGTCAAGCAGATAACACAGGTCACAAGTTGGTTTAGAAAGACTGGGGAAAAGTTAAAATAGCTATTCCTTTTCTCAGGAAGTCTCTGCTTGTTCTTTAATTATCTTTATGAGGCAAGCAATGAGTAACAAAAGTGATATTGTCAAAGTAGACCAAAACTCAGCAGCATGAGGAGATGCAGCTAATTTGAGCAATTCTGGTTTCATCTCTTGAGCAGGAACTTCCAGTGGTACTGAACACTGTGCAGAACTAAGTGGGAAATAGAGGTAACAGGAGATCATGTCACATAGAGCATTTTTAATTAGAGATAACAAATCTGTAAGTAATAAAAATAAAAGCAATAAAAACCAAAGAAAACTTTATAGAGACAGATTAGGATTCTCTAAAATACATCTTATTTATCTTTCATGATACATTTTTGCATCCGTTATTTGCTGTAAACTTTCAGGTAAGCTCTCATAACAGAGCTTAAAACAGTTAAGAAATTAAAAAATGTACCTGTTCAGAAATAAAATAGTGCTATGGCATTATTGAGTATTTGTTCTGGAGGGAAAAAAAAAAGGTAGGGGGCAAAAGCAGAGAGAGCAATTTAACTTCCAATACATACACACACGGTTTTAAAATGCCACTCAAGTTTTAAAAGGCCAGCTCATTTGTTCGCAAACATACTGAAACTGGTTATTTTATTAGAGAATAAATGCAGATCCATTGCATTAAATAAGTTTTAATGATAATATAACATGCAGAGAGGCTACAAGCTTCCATCAAGAGGAAACTCACCAAAAATATAATCAGTGTATGGCATTAAGCATTGCCATGCCTTCAAAATTGAGGTTGAAATGGTTACAACAGAAATATCACCCATGATTTGAATGATTGGTAGAGAAGAAAACTATCTACATTTATTCATTTAAACTAAGAGGTAAGAATTAAAAAAAGCACACACTGTAAATGTTCTGGTACATTAGGTTTCGAGATTCCCAACACAAAACAACATAAGAAAATTAACCATCAGAAATCACTACAGAGACTAGCAATTAGCTTATAGCAAGCTGTTTCTGACTAATGCTTTTTCCACTTAAGCTTTCCCAAAATCAAATTTATGATTTTTCCTTCATTTTATATAAACAGCTCCTGAGTTATCTGCAATTATACACACCATATGCTAGCGTTCAACACAAGGCAGGTTGTAAAAGCAGTATTTCAAAAATTTGGACTCATGTAACCATATAAGACAGATTTAACACATTAGCTATTTTTTTTTAGCATTCAAGGATACATTGCCCAATGTACAGTATCATGTTACAGTACGAGTCAGAGTCCAAGCCAGTTTGTCTCATACGTTTGAATGTTTTACAAGTATCTGTGGGGTCATGGCCTGACTTTTTGTTAGGAGGCTTGTAACTTTGAGTGCATACAAATTTATTGTTTGATAATAATTACTTGGGAAAAAAAAGATTAAGTACTACAATTTTGGCTTAGAAAGACTGCATTACCCCTAAATGAACATCTGATATTTTAAGATGTTTGAAGTAGAAACAATCAAGTTAACTTATTCAAGTTAACTAATCAGAAAAAAATTTACATGTAGCAAAAATAACTGCTACCCTAAAAGTTAAATACTGTACAAATACTTCTTAAGTCATGCAATGTAAATTTTTCATTTTGAGGACATGATGTTTGTAAGAAAGACTTCTTGAAGAGGTTGCTTTGGAAATGCTCACCTGGAATTTCATGCTTTATAAAATACACCTGCTGTTAATCTGTTCAGACAAGCCTATTATTACTAGCTTCAAGATTATTTTCTTAAACTAGCTGTCAAAACTAGCTCATAACACATGTGAGTAAGTATTACTATCCTATCAAGAGCCACAACAGTATCTTCTTATTTTTCAGTCTCAGTGCACATACAGAAAGTGACATTGATGGTAGGTAGGCTGACTACATCATTTCCAGACTTCCTTTCCAACCTCAGCCATTCTGTGAACTAGGTATTCCTCCCTGGAGCAACACGTTTAATATACATGCAGAAGACACTTGAAAATGTTTCATTTACTTCATCTTTACCTGTAAAGCACACATAAACCATTTGGTAAAAATTTCATACTGCAAATTTTTGCACGGATTAAATAAAATTCCTGGCCTACTCAAAATTATTTATTGATTTAAACATTCTAAGAAGTCAAAATTTCCACATGAGGATGCTGTTTTTAAATAAAACAGCAGCATCATTATCATCTGAAACAGCCTAGGTTTTATCTCACCAAGAAAGATTATCTTTGTTCTGTTTAGTGGATTTTTGCATTATAAAGTCCTTACACAGGCTTTCATGAAGCACTGTTAGGGATTAAAAACATCTTTCTGAACATGTTCTCATATAATAAAAATGCAACAATTCAACTTTATTTTTATCCGGAGAAAAGCATGCCACTTAAAAGCTCTCTTTTGAAGGTTTAATACCAGCAGGTTGAAAATGGGTTAGGCAATAAACCAGCAGAAAGATTCAGCCCAGAGAGGATTTTTTCTTTTTTGATGTCAAGCACATTTTAAATCTCCCAAGCTTTTTATAGAGCTGCCAAAAATAGTCCAGCTAAAAATCATGGAATTGGCTGCATCTATTACAGAAAACAAAGAGCCCCAAAATATTGCAGAATATTAGGAAAAGGTCTTAATGAAAAAACAACCCAGAAACCCAACAAGTAAAGATGGCATATTCTGGAGGTTTGATTTTCATCTGTAAGAAAAACAAAAAAACAGTGCATCCATTTTAGTATCATTGCCTGTGAGCAAATACGCTGAATCTTTCAGTCAAAATGTACCACAGCAGCATCAAATGGACAACAGGATTCACCATGCAGACTGTTCCCCTGCATCCACATCAATGCCTCCCTCTTAATTAATTTAATTTTTTATGTGTACCAGGACCCATTCTTAGTCAAGTTTTGTTCCAACTCAAGAATGGTAGCGCAGGTGAATACTGAGTCAAAGAATCCTTTTCACTAGTTCTACCTGAACCAACCTGTAAGTAATAGAGTCCTCTGAGAAATAACAGTATGATTCACACTCCTCTTTGCTGGTGTAGTTAGGCTGCACTGCCCCATCTAAACTGACAAGGAACAAAACTAAACAAAGATGAGAGCATTTAGCAATCTTCTGAAAAGTCTATTCAGGCTGCAGAGCAAGACAGAACTAGGCATAGGCATACTAAAGTAATATCAGCACCTTATTTCAGCCCTGTTTGGCAGAACACGTTTAGAATCACAGCACTGTCAGTACTGTATAGATACTTACATACAAGGCTGGGGGGTTTGTTTTGCTTTGTTTTTTAATTTATATCAGCTGACTACTTTTATGACTCCTGCTATGAGTCACCTGCCCCACTCTGTACAAACACAAATTAAAGGAGACATGGAGAGAACACTAAAAGGGTATTTTTTGTAAAAGGCACAATGAGACTCAAGGTACAATTTCATGCTTGGTTAAAGGCAGGCTACAGCTACTGCTACTGAAAGAGACTTCAACCTTCTCTCTGTGCTTACATTAGCTCTGTCAATCCTGAAGCTGCACAGCAAGCTAGATCAGCTTAACTCAAGTGAAAATGAATTGCATTCCATGCCAGCCACGGTTCTTGAGCAGTTACTATAGCTGATTTGAGGGAACTGCCATAAATGTGTGGACAGGACCAGATGACTGGTGGCTTATCTCTTTGAAAGCAGGTACTTTTGCAATAACTTTTCAGTCATGAAATATAAGATATCACTGATAAGCTATTATTTTTTAGCAACGTGTTCCTTGTGCACAGTTGGTCCAATTTTCATAGGGACAGTAAAAAAATCCCCAACAATCTACCATTTCCATCTTGGAAGAAAAATACTTTAAAGAAAATTATTTAAAGAAAATATTTTAAAGAAAATTATTGTATTATTATTATTTTCTCAAGTTTTCTTCTCAGAATGACTTCTTTTCATAGAAACTCCTATTCATATCTTGATACATGAATATAGATGGGAATCCATAAAAGCTTCTAGCACTCCCCACACAAAGATTCAGACTTTCTTTTCTGCTTCACAGAGGAACTTCCATATGTAATTAGTACTAACTGGAACTCTCTGGACATTCTTTAGGCTGTTAGCTGCCATAAAAGCCTGTGTACTCTTGCAAAAATTGCTCAATCTGTGATTTATCTATGGAAGCAACTTTGAGTTCCTATATTTACCTACCTATGAGTTTAGATTTAAATATATCAATCTTCAAATGCTACTTGGAAAGTTCATCTATGATGCCCATGCCACTAAAATAAAATTCCAAACTGTTTTTAGAACTAGATGTGTTAGAATTGCTTATAACATTACACTTATTATGGCAAGCAGCTGTATATTTAATTTTCCAGTTGGAATTTCCACTTGACAGCTTCATGCAGCAGTGTGCCAGAACTGAATATTAAGGTTTATCTATGAGCTTAAGCAATTAACTTAATCCCCAACATTTATAAGCATCTTAATTAAAATTATGGACTCTTTCCTCTCTTGTTCCCATGCTACTAAATAGGACAAAAAAATAAGCTCTCTTTCCAAAACTACCATATATGAATTGACATACACTGCACATCTAGCAGAAGATAAAGCATTTCAGAATTGATTTAGTGTGGAAAAAAAAAGTTTAACACAATAATTAAATGTGCTTGGAGGTGTGAACCAGGTATTTAAGTGATAAACAGATTCATTGTGTTAATCGAAGGCTAAATTGCATTGTGTATTTCACAAAAAAAGCCACCCAAAATTAGAATAAAAATACCCAAACAAAAAACAAAGTAAAACCACAACCACCAAAGGAAGAATACAGTTTAACTACACGAAAAGTTGTCTATAGTACTTGTTTTTGAACGCTGAATTGTAAATAGCTTATTGGATTGCTTGTATACTAAAAGAAGAATAAAGTCTCACATGCTATTTTCTCAGTGATAAAATTAACAATACAAAATTGAATGAAGTCATAGTGCGATTCTCAAGAAACAAATCTTAAGTCCAGTCTTGAAAACATTCTTCTGAACAAACTACAAAACTGTTTTCAGATTCAAGATGAAGAAAATGCAGACCTGCTTTCAATTCCAATTCCACTGCAAACTAAATTAGTACAGCATCAGGAAGAAGAAAATGCTTTAATGGTAAACACAAAACAATTCAGAGCAATAACTGGAATACCAGCTCCAATTAAATTACCATCAAGAACTAGAAGATATTACCAGGCTCCTAATTTTGGTAGCTACTGTTTTAAAGCCCAGAATTTTCAAACCACAGATATTAAAATAAAATGATTTAAAATAAGAATTAAAAAATCAGAAGTAGTGAAATCATATTCATTACAACATTCCAGAAGTGACTTCTTACAACCATCACAAGACATTAGAAGGAAACTGATAAACATTACATTGTATACTCAGTGATAAATATTTTTAGAAAGGTATTTAATGTTTTTAGGACTTACCAGCAGTGAAGTCACTATTTAAATCTATAAACGCATGAGAGTGTGGTATATACATTTTACTTTGAGTTTCCAATGCAGCATGCCATGATAAGTTCCTATAGGCAATAATAAAAAGCAATACATTTCATCAATGCTTGGGGACTGGTGATCATGATAACAGACTTTTAAAAAAAAACCTGAAACTTCAAATAAAATTGAACAGAAACCATGTTCTCCTAATACTAAGCTAAAATTCCTACCTAGCTTACAGTATACTAAGTGACTAGCATAATTGCTTGAAAGGTTCTGAGAAGGATGATTCATAGCTCAGGTGTTTCAGTTAGATTTTATTAACTTTCTAAAGGATTTTTTTTTGTACACAGAAAATTGTCAGTTCCACAAAATGAAATTTAGTGCCTAGACTTCAACTGTAAATCTTGAGACACTGATTGCTATCCTCTCTAGTTTCCTCAAGCAGTTTTGTTATCAGTACTTCTGAAATCTACTTTAGGATTAATAAAGATGAGCAAAAATGGACATAATCACATGCTGTTAGAGCAGCTCATTGCTGCATGTAACTGGACTTTATTTGCAATCACTTAAAAAAATCAATACAAGAATTACACTCTCACATTTTGATGACCTGCAGGCTAATTACGTAATTTCCCACATAGGCCATACATTTATTTATAAACATACTTGCCCTAATGGTTTGTGCTCTAAAAATGACTGAACTTCTACCAAACCTTCCTATTATCAGCACATTGGAATATAACAAATCTGTCTAAAGTCATAGTGGTTGAATCATCAGATCAGTTACTTTCAGAGTCCTTAGCTAATACACTCAGAAAAATCTCAATATAGAATAGTTAGGGTTGGAAAGGAACTTAAGATCATCTAGCTCTAACCCCCCTGTCATGGGCAGGAACACCTCACACTAAACCATGTCACTCAAGACTAAACCATGTCACCCAAGAATATGCACTATACAGTAGCAGGACAGTGATATGACTACAATCTAGAATTCTTCCTTTATTCCAGTGACATTGTATACATATTACTGATGTTCTAATGACTTTTAAAATGAGCCTGTGACTCATTTATGGTAAGAAACAAAAATGCTTCTGATTACTTCCCAGAGATCATAGAACTTAAATCTTGAAAATGCTTAAAAGAATCACTTAATCTTAAAGAAATAATTTCTATAGGCTTTTCTATGCATTCCATTCTGAAGGTAGCCAAGAAAGTTATATAGCTCTATAAATTCTAAAATATTTTAGATTAAAAATAGAAACATTCTAAGCAGATGACATATAACTGGTGTCCACAAAAAAGAAATTGCTTATGCTGTTATCTATAACACTCAAGTCTTATTGAGCTGTAATGAATATTTGTATCCCAATACTAATGAATGATTTCTTCAACAAAACAGAACAAATCTCTCAAATTTTTCCATCTCTTCAAAAGTTCATAAAACTTTTCAATATATAATCATTGCAAGGTGTTCAGAAACACCCTTGTCAATTTGAAACCTGTGTTCCACAAGCAATCAATTTAAATAAAAGTAATGGTGATAAAATTCAAGTTGGGATTAAAGATCAAAACCATATTGCCAACACTGCTATAGTTGCAATTTACACATTTAGATGTTGTTTACCCTATGCCGCTTCTGAACCATCTTGGAGGGAAGGAAAATTAGCCAGTCAGGCACAAGTATAGATTAACAAAACTCACCGATGGTTGTGGGGTGGTTAAAGCCTTATTTCAACATTTTTTAAGGGCCACAGAAATACACAGCAGAAAGCTGATACATTGTTGCCAGAGAGACAGCACAGTCATCTTATTGTTTCAGTGGTAACAGAATTCTTCTTGAAACAGTATCTAAAGGAAGCCACATAGGAATGCAAAGGTTTCTTAAGGCACCTTTGCTTTTAAAAGAAACGTAAGTGTTGCCTTCATGCAAACCTAAAAAAAAACTGTGCGGCCAAAGCCTGGATTTCTCCTGAAAGGCATAGAGCTACAAGTTTCTGTTAAGGCTGCTAAGTAACAATCAAAACAATCCTAGTAAGTTCCACTTAAAAGCTGCAAAATAGCAAACTAGGAGATGCAAACTTCTTCAAACAGCCATTTTAAAGGCCCGATCTTCTAAGAAAACACAAGCCCAGCACCTAATTTCTCCAATAACTCATTGGAAATTACCTGTTACCAGTCAAAAGCAAATAGTTCAAAATGTTGAGAGTAGTTTTCATATTCTTCACAAAGCTAAGAACAATGTGTTTATTTTGACATTTACAATCCAACTCTCATCCTAAAAATAATTCCTGCTCTTTTGAGCACATTCTTTAACAACTAAGAGAAAAATCTTTAAATCAGGGAAAGAATTCTTCTTCAAGTATCCTCTCTTTAAGGCCTTTTTTCTTTTTCAAAGAACTCCCAACCCACAACACTATTGATCAAGTTCTTTCTTACAAAAGTCAAAGACTGAACATATGCAAAGTTCAGTTTGGCAACAGTCACAGAAGATGTACAAACCCAAATTTTTAGTTGTTAAGAAAAAAAATTAAAGTCATCTGGCTCAATAATGTAGCTTTCACTAACTCAGAGTCACACCAATTAGTGTCATCATTGCTCTCAGAAGCCAAAGCTTTCTGTTCTTTTAATCAGATTACAGACTTCAAAAGCAGTATCAGGAAAACTGACAGAATGTGAACTGTCCTGCTCTAGGGTCCAGTAGTGTCTTTAACAAATAACTTATAACTTCTTTCCAAAAGACAGATTCAAAGTTCCTTGGCATCTTACCCAATATTAGAGATATTGCTACACTTTAAAAAATTAGATGCAGAGTGCCACAGAATGTTTAAAGATACACATGGAAATGAGAAAAGATTCATGCGTTTTCACTTCCAGTTAAAATATGAGCTTTATGGCTCTAAGAATAGAAGTAAATGCACAATGTATAAGTTACGAAATATATGTAAATAAACACTTAGCTTACCCGCCTATCAGTATCTGTGGCTTACTTGAATCGCTTGTCACACCAAAGACATCAGGAATCAAGTCTCCATTAAAGCTGAAAACGCAAAACTATTTCAGTATCACTTTAGCCATTATAGGAGTTGAAATTAACTGTTCTTAAGTTAATTTGAACTTGTTTAGCTTTTTCCCCTCAAAGTAATGATGACTTTTCAGCTGTGTAGCCTTTCTGAATTTTGGCTCTTGTCTGAGCTGCTGGTAGCTGTATGCTTCTTTCAGTATTTTACACTATGCAATACATTTGATTTTCCAGCTGTATTTTCCAACCCCACTCTTCTGTCCAGCATTTAACAAAGAAGTTCAGTGCAGTGTGAAAGGGATTATTTGCTCAGTCTGATAAATCAGTAAGGGTTTTGCTTTACAAAACTCAACAAAAACTGAATGGTTATTTTTCTGCATAAAACAGAGTACTAAAATTAAAATCCAGTTACTATTGCCAGGATGATGCAGTAGACAAGACTTGTAAAGATGGTTTGTGTTTTGTCATCTTCTGTTACACCACTCGACATTACAAATACAATGCTGCTCTTAAAGAGCATGTGTTCTAAGTTTCAGCATTAAATATATTTAAGTTGCTCTTAGTCACCATTAGAAATGCTTTCTTAAAAAGTAGGTCATACTTACTCCATTACTAGAGGCTCATCATGAAAAGTCTTATTTAACATAGTTTTATGGTTAAGATCTGAAAACAGAAAATATTACTTTGATTCAGTTACCAGTATCTTATCACATTTGTGTTTTTAACTTAGATGTAATCCTTCTATCAATTCAGAACTGCAACCACACAGGCAAATGAAACTGAAATAGTTGGGCTGAAGACAGTCTAAAATCTAACACAAGGCCTCTGTTTAACATTTTGTCACTGTAAAAGCCATACTTAATCATATACACTGAGTGTCTGAAATAAGAATTAAAGGTAGACTGCCTAAATGGGAAGTGAAGATTTTAAGTCCTATTCAGGTTATATCACCTCTGGGTTCACTTTTACTGGTAATCCAAACTCCTTGCCACATCATCTGCATTTCCTTCATCTCTCCGCATTTCTCTTCTCTCCAGTTTCCACATTTTATGTAGTAACCTCTATTGACTTAGCTCTCATACTTCCATTACCCAAGTAGGCACCATATTCTTTCTCAGTAACCTCACTACATACCATCCACTGCCTGAATTTTTAACCTCCGACTCCTTTTCTAAGCACCATATGCTCATTTGTGCCTCTCACAATATTTGATTACCCAGAAGCAAGACAGTATAAATTACTGTGCTACAGATAACTCCTATTCTCTTAATCCTTGAACCAGTGCACTTTCCCAGGCTTCTTTTTCACCTCTCATTAAAGCCAGAAGCAATGGTATCTAATACTATCCTTGCCTGAGCTGTAAATATTTTATAACACAGTTATTTATAATAGTCATTACTTAGTTTTTGTGGATTTGAGAGTATCTGCTTTTGCTTTCCATCCTCCTTGAAACCCAGAACTCTTCCCAAAACCATTTCCTAGCAAAGTTGACAGAAAACAGGAGATTGCAAGAGTTCACACAGTTCATGACTCTACCCTAAGACAGAATCAGCTATATCTATTTATTTAGGCATGATATTTTTAATGTTCATGAACTAAACTTTACAGCAGGTTCTCAGCACATTTTAAATCAAAGATAAGAGATAATCTTTCTGAGGCTGACACGCCCTGTGGAGAAGCCACAAGAAGCAGCTCTTCAGTTAGTAGGTTACTGTTAAACTGTAATAGTTTGGTTATGTCTTTTGCTCAATAGAGGTGAAAGAATTTGGCTTTGTTCTCTTTCCTTAATTATTGAATACAGTTTAAGAGCAAGATAACAGCAAGGTATGAATCCCTATTACAGTTGTTAAAACAATTACTACACTGCAAAATGAGTTTTAACTTTCTGACAACACTTTGAATTATTAATTCTATTAATCTTATTAATAAGCAATTTTAGCAACTCACCTAATGTTTGGTTGTGCCCCCAGAAAATAAACACTGAAAGTTCATCTCTGCCATGATTTTGTGCCCGGGTAGTCAAGAGCACATCCATTTGTGAATCACCATCATAATCTCCAGGAACTACGCTGGTTATGGTAACACCGACAGATCTAGAATTTAAAGCAAACAAAAAACCCACATGCAAATAACTGCATGATAACTGAAATTGTATTTGTGTGTTCAAAGGCTTGCTTTTTTACCCCAATTGTTATGAGTTGGTCCAGTACAATCTGGGTTTTTATAAAGGCTTTATCTATTGCAAAAGGAACTTTAAATCAATATTCTGCAGGCTGTCTTCCTCTAAGGAAGGAAGACATTAGCTCTAAAATTTGGCTAACAGGCATTCCTCTGCCATATACTGCTTGGTAATGCTGTACAGACTTCAGTAAACCTTCACTTGTTGTAGAGCCAGTCTTCAAAAATATGTTGTGGCTGCATTCCAAGAGCAAGACCATAACACAACAGGAGCAGTTTAAACAGCAGAAGTCAGACAGGTAGCGGGATCTTTTTTTTTAAGGCAATGTCATCTCCTCCTATCTTCTGCCACGTCCTGCCTCTCCTCCCTACATTTATTTGTTCTTTCTATCTTTTTTTTACTTGGTTACCCACTCCAGACTGTTTTACACATGCAAACATTGATCATTCTGTTAAAAATTAGAAGCAGATAATTTCTATCTCACTAAACAAATTAGCTCCTTCCAAGATAGGAGGGAATAAGTAAAAATATACAGAACTATAGAAGATGAAGCTGAGCTATACAAGCAGTTAAACTATTCACAGACAAAATACTATTAGTAAGCATTATTCATAAGCGATAACATATCCTGTAATATTCTCATGGTTAAAATTATACATATGTACATAAACACACAGATTGTTTCACATTTATTAAAAAACGATGTTTTTTTTTTTAAAGCCGTATTTAAAGTTTAGAAGGGAACAGGTCTCCACACAGAAATACCAGAACACCATTCTCCCTATCTCTTTCTAAAGCAGATGACATCGCCTGGATTCTATTAGCAACTAGAAGAATTTTCCTGAAAAGACATCTTGGAACAGAGACTAATACTATCTGCCAAAAAGACCTAACCTATGACATGGAATAATAGTTTGCTTTACTAGGAAATAAAGTACCAAAAAAACAGGTCAACTGCAAAAATATTCCAAGATATTGATATTTTTAATAGTAGTTAAAGGACCAAAAAAGAAATACAGAAATTCCATAAACTTAATATGAATGATAAACTTGTCTCCACAAATTCACCAGACCTACAAAATCCAAACAAATCAAGCCAAAAACCTATCAGGAAATTAATCAGGAAACTGGTCAAAGAACTGGAGCTCTAACGGCACGTTGAACAACACAGTCAAACAGATAACAGCAGCACAGACAATTGCAGTCATGTTCCCACTGACTGCAGAGATGCATGTTCAAGAAAACCAGCCACTTCCATTATTTCACCATTGCATATCAATACTTACTTCATTGGTAACTTAACACGGGGCTTAAAGTAGGGCTCCTTTTGGTCAGCCAAGAAGATAACCAACTCACTTCCTGCAAAAGTAAGTAAGACAATGAAAAAAAGAGGCCAACTCTTCTGTTCTTACATAAAAATCCCGACATTAAAAAAGCTATGCCACAAATAGTCATTTTTATATTTTATGACAAAAATAGTCATCAAAACCTTTAAAAGACTTCCTATATAACAATTTTATCCTCATTCAAAAGGAAGCAAAAGGAACACTTCTTCAATACAACCTATAAATCTAACTGCATTTCAAAGGAATGCTACTATCAAGAATATTCCTTGGGGGTTAGTGTTAGACCTTCCTCTCTGTTAAGTATATAACTTCCTGTAACAACTTAATAAACATTACCTGTGGAAAAGCAACAGGCATCAGTTCTATGCAAATCATTAAAAACTAACTCAAATGAACTCTTTTAATATTGCCTCTGATATAACAGCATCTGATACCCCTTTCCCAACTCAGCTGACAAAAGCACTTTAAGTAAAACTCACAGAAGTAACCCAGTTTTCTGCAGCATTTCCTCAACTGGAGGCTATGTTTGCCTTTTCTGAATCACAGAATCATAGAATAGTTAGGGTTGGAAAGGACCTTAAGACCATCTAGTTCCAATCCCCCTGCCATGGGCAGGGACACCTCACACTAAACTGTCTCACCCAAGGCTTTGTCCAACCTGGCCCTGAACACCGCCAGGGATGGAGCATTCACAACTTCCCTGGGCAACCCATTCCAGTGCCTCACCACCCTTACAGTAAAGAGTTTCTTCCTTATATCCAATCTAAACTTCCCCTGTTTAAGTTTTAACCCATTACTCCTTGTCCTATCACTACAAGCCACTATCATTTAATAATTTCAGGAAGATCTAAATAACAGCCCATCTTTTATGCTGCACAAATAATTGTATTTCAGGGAAGAAAAAAAGAAATTTGAACAATGAAATTATTTTCAGTCAGTAAATCACAGTACATCGGTGCTTACTTCTGTAAGTAAAGTAGTAATTCACAGCTAGATAAAAAATAAAACAACCCAAAACCAAAACCCCAACTTTTTTTTTACTCATCCTTTACTGCATTTGTTTTCTGCATTTCCAAGGAACTCACCTGTAGCACCCCAAACTGCACAAACTAGGTTACCTAACCAAAAATAATTCTACACTCTGAACTTGAACTACCCTAATATAAGAGCATTGAAGGCAAGCTTCCTGGCTATGAGAAAAAAAAAAAAAAAAAAAAATAACTGCCATAAACATATTTGCCAAGGATAATATGCCAACAAATGAATAAATTAAAACAGACTCTTTCAAAATGGTTTGGGGCAACTAGTGCAGTCCCATCTGGCAAGCTAATAAAACCTGGGTTGCGCTGCACATTCATGGATGATTGAAAAAGTTGGCACAAAACAACATGAGGAAGCCTACTGCTGGTTAAGCTTTTGATAATAAAGCCATGGGTTGATTACTAAAACTTGTAATTCCAATTCCACACTATAGACTTTCACCTGCCTTTGTATCATCTGTGTGGTAACGATGATGATAAAGCAGCAAATGTGTTTTTACACATACCAGGTTCCAAGTCAATTATACCACTCCAAAATGATTTTTATGGTCACTAAAAACAGATTTATGAAAATGTCAGCTTAGTGCTCATCAGCAGTCAAAACAAACTGACCAGGAGAAATTACTAGATGAACAGAAAACAAAATTACTATGCCACTCCATCAACAGTGCTCACAACCTAGATGCTGTTTGTAGTTCTTGCCCTCTCATCCTTAGAAGAACACAGAAGAAAGAAGAAAAGTACATAGGAGGGTATGAAAAAAGGGATCAGTTTCCATACAAAAAACAATAACATAGATTAAGTCTGAAAATCTGAGTGAGGATACCAGAGAGGTTTTTAAAATTCCCCAGTGAAATGCAGAAGCTGAATAAGGGAACAATCTGCCCTGTACTATCAGAAGAGGCATCAAACACAACTAGAAGGTGGTAGGTTGAACAAGCAAACAACATGAGTTTCTCCACTTATCCCCATTTTGTACATAGACTTGCAAAACAGGCAAGTGTATGTACAGTACCATTTCTTCGCATACTTTTAGTTTTAAAAATTGACTAAACCCAGGGCCCAATTATAAGTTTGAATTTCTCTTCTAGTAAGATACTTCTGGATCCAGATTACCTCTTATGTTCAAACAGTTTATCCTCTCCTACAAAACTCTGGGTACAAACTGATTTTTCTTTCACCTATCTGAGCATATGGAACATTACTCTCATTCAACCAAAGGAATTCAAGATCAGAACAGTAACATAAACACAGCAAAAGGCCCAAAACATCACCCCTACTTCCTTATTAAGGGTCAGGATTATTAGGACTGGGCTTCTTTACCAGACCAATACTACTCAAGGTCTAGCATTATTCCCAACGCTCAGTCCTTCAGCACTACTAAAAGAGATGTCTACCTTTTATTCTACTACGCAGAATTCTACTATTTAGAATTTCCTGTTACATTTTGTTTAAAAGGTATTCTGTATGTTCTTCAAGCTACATTTTGACAAGACTTAAATGATGAAGAATAATGTTATCAAGTAGGTTATGCTGGCATGCAGAAGCAAAGATGAAACCATGAACTTTGTTTCTAAAACTTTGAAACACATTTCTATATGTATTCTTCTGAAAGATAAGAAAATTTAAATTAAATCTCTTATCACTGACATTCATTTTAAATCTAATCTTTTGCTGTGTTTTTGCACAGGAGCATTTTCAAGGAGCCATGAATTTAAATATCTCAACTAGATGAGAAATTTACCCATGCTTTACTAAAGCTACTTCAAGACCCATTTCTGAGATTGAAGGAATATAAATAGGTCAATTTGGGAATAAATTTCTTATCTTAATGTGTAACTTCAAGTTAGTAAAATAATCCAAAAATTAGCATTCACAAATAACACCGCTAATAAGTGGGATAACACTTAAAAAATGATAACTGATAAGAAGCTCTGATTTGAATTTATATCTGAAACTTTAACAGAAATTTCTGGCAGACAACAGCTGTGTAGAAAAATTTATCTAGCCTTCCACTTTAACACAATGCTTAAGGTAGGATAACATGCAATTTATCCTCTTCACAACAGTGAAATGTAGATCTTTTTCCCGAAATATTGTGAAAGCAGGAGACAAAAACTAATTTGTGGCCATTCAGCTCTGCAGGATAAAGTCTTCAGATTATTTCATTACCATAAATTCAACTTAAAGAAAAATATTTCTTTCTTTACATTAAACGGTATTTGAGTATAAACCGAAAACATCTTTTTCCATACAGGAAATCTCATGCGTAACTGATATGTCAATTTTAGTCTTGGTTCGCTACCCTTGCCCCCAGCCACACTCCGGACAGACCAAGCACTGAAGACGTGCGCAGAACAACAGCAGCAGGAGATTCATGGAACCGAGGGTCACTTGCGCAGGAAGGGTTCCGTCAGAGTCTTCGATCCTCGCTCCTCACGGGACAGCTCCCGCCGGCAAAGTCTTTCCATGTCCACCAAGAACGCATTTGTCAAATAAGCAACCGGAGCCTCCCCACGAGCCCGTCCTTCTCCAGACCGACGTCAGTAACGCCGTCGGCCCCGCCCCCGCCCCACTCACCGCCTCGCAGCACAAACAGGTCCGTCTGCTTGTCTGAGTTAAAGTCGCCGAATGCCGCCAGGGTCCCGTAGGCCTCTGGCCCGAAGAGCTGGGCAGTGACGTTCTGCAGAGTCTCGCCGGGTCCTGCCAGGGCCAGCAACAGAGCTAGGGCCAGCCCAAAACAGCCACAGCTACCCCCCATCCTGCCGCACCACAGCCCCATGCCCCACTCCCTCCCGCCTCACTTACGGCAGCACGGGGGCGTGCCCGACAGAACAGCGGCTCACTTCCGGGACTGACCCTATGGCTTTGCGACAATAGCGTGATGGCCTGCGCCGGTTTCTTTACGGCTGTCGCTAGTGGGCAGGCGGAGACTGCCGGGTGGTTGCGTTGTTTCAACGTGCGTGAGGCGGGAGCCGCTGTTCCGACGAGAGTTCGGCAGGAGTGGCGGGTCCTCACCGGCATGGCGGCGACGGCCCCAGCGGCAGCCCATATGGCTGACGTGAGCTGGAAGATGCTGGAGCTACGCGCTCGCTCTAAACGTTCAGGTCTGACCTCTTCGCTTGCTTGCGAGGGGCTCCGGGTTCCCTCTTCTCGCCAGCTCCACCGCAGTTCTTCGCGCCCCAGGAGGTTTTGGCCGACTTCGTCCTTGTGGCTGTCGTGCCCGGCGCGGGGCGGGGGCGATTTCTCGAGGTCTTCCCGTCTTCCCGGCGCTGCCATCCCCCCAAGGCACACGCTCGGGGCGGCGGGGCCTCCCGCCGCCATACCCAAAGGGCGGTCGGGCCTCGCGCGGCGGCGGGCTGCAGGTGGCTCGCAGGCCGCTGTACAGGTGACTAGCTCTCACAGCGGTTTTGCAGCTGTTTATAAGGCTGCCGAACAGGTGAAGTATTTTAAAATTGCAGCCACGTACGCCGAAGTGCCAGGTTTCCATTGGGAGAGGCAGTTATTTTTAACATGGGAATTTTCTGTTCTGAACTTCTGGACTGCGTGGCAGCTACATTCTGATCTAAATGACAGGGTGATGTTTACTGAGTTGGCTTGACTTTCCAAAGTTCAAAAAAAAAACACCTTTTTTTTTTTTTAACTTTTTTCTAAATTCAATACAGCCTTAGTAGGGCTTTTATTGTTAATATTCTAATGGAAACAGTTTCTAAACTATTTCTGTGGTGGTTAATATGTGCTTGTAAAGCTCAGTCCCTATTGCATTATTTGCAATTAGTTCTATTCTGGTAGTGACTGATCAGACTGTGAAGAAAACCTGGGGCTTTCTGAGGGCATTAATAAAAAGGATTTATTGAAGACTGGTGTAATTCATGTGGCTTTAAAGATTCCACTTATGTGTAGTATGAATTTGCAAAATAATGTGATTAAGACTATCAAGTAATTGAGTTGTTGCTTTTGGCCAGTTATGGTTGCATAGTATTGTTATCTGAAAATTGATTTACAAATGTAGCCCACAAAATAAAGTCTGAAACCTTCATGTTGGGTGTATGTGAACCCTGAGGCACAGGGCACCACGCCAGCCTATGCAAATTCAGACCCTGTGACTGCAGAAGGCATTTGGATGATTTTAAGTGGTTGAGTTTTCTACTTTTTTGTTAAATGAGTATGAAAGGGTATCCTATAAAAATGGCAGGTTGTTATTGTAGTTCACTTTCTTTTCCTGTTTGTGGAGATTTTTGTCACTTAAATAGGAACTGAAGAGTTCTTTTTTTACTCGGGAAATAAAGATTATTTTAGTTGAAATGCTTTTCTGATAAAAGACTTAATTTTAAAATCAAATTTTATACATGATCTTCCAGGTAACATTCTTGTCTAAAAATCCAAATGATGTTCTTGTTTCTCAAATTTACTCCTGCATCTTCATGAGTATACTAAAATTGGTTTAACTTAGAGCTTTTATACTTACTTTCTGACACTATCAGAAAGCGACATAATTGGTACAGTCATTGAAGGAGACTGAAACTCGCCCATTATATTTTGAATTGGCTGGGGTCTGTGCTCCAGAATCACAGTTTACAAGCAGAACTGTTTGGTTATTTTAGCATGATGCTTGGAGTAAAGTATAATAAACATGGAATATAGACACACATGCATAAAATGCATGTTCATGTTTTGAGTTGACAGCAAAGTATCCTTTAAGACTCTATCCTGTAGGAGGTAATCCATATCTTCATGTTTATGTATTACATTTTTGCCAGTAAAACCAAATTTAATTGATTTTTTTTTTTTTTTTCCTACCTTGAGCAATAAAATACTGTTTCATTTGTTGCTGCTTTGATAGTTAACTGTTAGGAGCAGATAAAAGCAGCGCTAAGTATAAGCAGAATTTCAGTTCTCTATTGTTACTTAACACTTTTATATGCACTAGTTAAATCAGTATTTTTATTTTATCTTGAAGTATATCAAATAGATTTTATTCAGCACCTTTTGACATCAGCACAAATTTCCTGTTTAATAACAGAGCTACTGTCTCATGTCCATAAAGTGGACTTTGTGCAGACTGACTTCATTGTTTTAGTCTGGCAAGTTTTATGGAAGTAAAAGCAGAAAAACCCCAAATTTTTAAGGTAGAGAGAGAAATACTTTCTCTTTTGTTTTTACTCTGTCATGTTAATAACTCAACTAACATTGCTTTAACTTAATTTAATGCTGATTGCCATTAACATGTACTAAATACTTTTGAAAATCGCTGTAGCATAGCCTGAGACGTTTGTCATTAGCTGCACCAATTTGAAATGGCCAATTTGGATGATGACAGAACCTTCTCTGCGCATGCTTTTTCAAAATTTGGTAAGTGTGCAGTTGTATGTTTTGGTTTTGTTTGTGGCTTTTTAACTCAACAAAAAATAATTGTTTTGTGTTTCATGCAGTGTTTTGTGCTAGTTTTTAGAACTGTACAGTAGAACCTAAAAATTTGAGCTCTTTCATTGGAAATTTCTGAAAACTAGAATCTACTGAGGTTTGAAACCTACAGCTCAGATCTCATTTTGTTTATGGTTTTTGCTCTTGTAACTGTCTCAGTGGAACAGTTTCTGAACTGAAGTTTCTCTTCTTAAGATGATTGTCATTTGAAAGGTGCACCAAGAATGGTGTTAGAATTAACTCCTAAAAATCTCCTATATGACTGGTTTGGTGGAAAGAAGTAAAATCTCCAATAAGTCAGACACTGTTCCAAAGCCTGATTTTTGGAAACCAGGTGGAAGCCAAACAAAGCCTCCTGGTGCAGCTTCTCTTTAAGTATGGCACAAGCTAGAATATGTGATGTTGTCAAGGCTGTTACTGATTTAGCTCTATATATATTGAAAAGAGTTTGACTGGAACAGACTCTTGTTTAGTCTGTGTTGAAACACAGGAGCAATACAGGTGCTAGTGAGAGTAGCCAGGTAAGGGGGTTTCAGCTGTCTCTTGCTAGAACTGAGTCACTTCAGCTACCTTGCCCTGCCTGTGGCATTTCTGTTTTGCCTGTCTTAATGATAAAGTACATGTGAAGTACTGACATTGTAACAAAAAAAAATTACTCTTTCCTAATTATTTTATTGGTACTTGATGTTATTATGCAAAATTATCATTTTAAGTAGTTTTAAGAGTTATTGTTTTGAGTTCTCAGAAGTGGTAGTGACTGCCTTGAGTATCCTATATGGTTTCCTGTCTTGCTTGTAGCATTTACAGGCCTTGCTTCGCAGACTTTAACATTCTGGTGTACTTTGATTATGAGAAGCTTCTCTGCACTGACATCATGGTCAGTGTTTTATTTCTGGTGTTCAGTAACTTCGGTGTGTTGTTAGTTATGGTAAATCCTGAAATCAGTAATTTCTGTCAAGTGTAATGTACTGTAGAGAGAAATCACTTCATATGACTAGTAGAGAAAGGACAAAATAAATTGATACATATTTTTTCTTTTTCCATGAAAGTCTAACTGAATTGTATGCACAGTCTAACACATTATTTTTCTTGATAAGTGATAGTTTAAAACTTTTGTATTTTAATACTATTTAAATGAAACTACTACAAGGTTTTACTCATTTTACCTGTGTTTTTATTATCACTCAACCTAGGTATACTTTGACCTTGTGTTTACTCCTACTGTTTATTCAGGTAGAGGAATACCTTAATACCTTTCTCTTCTTCCCTCAGCCTCTCTCCTGGAATTTCTTTGCCGTATTTTCACTGAATTGTAAAACAGTTTAGTTTGGAAGCGATCTACTCTAGGCTCTTTGCTCAAAGCAGAGTCAGCTGTGAGATTGTAGTTTCCTCCTCTATGTAGTGATTAAAAATCCCCACCAGCAACAGCACAGTTGATGCACATTCAGTTCATGGACTCAGAGTTCACATATTTACATATGTGAGAAGTGAATTTTCCTTCTAGTGGAAATGCTTCTGACGATTATTTTCTGATATCACCTTGTTCATGGGTTTGGACTTAAAAGCAGAGGTATTTGATGGCAGAAAACTATTAGAATAAATTGTATTATATCTCTCCAGTACTGTATTAAGTCTGAGCTCAGGAGAGATTGAGGAGAAGTCTAGAGGGAAAGGAAATGTGATGTTGGTAAGATTTGATTTATTCATGTGATATCATTTCTTAAACTTTGCTATATGAAGAAATATAATCCTCTTTAGTCCCAGTGACTTCCTGGGTAATGAAATATTAATTGTTATCTAAAGTCCAGAACTTGTTCATGTCTCCTCTGTTGGCTTGCATCCAGAGCTAGTGTCAGATTAAAGGTCTGTGGTCAGTTTTTATTCTTACAAAATCTAGAAAGAAATCTGGTAGTTGGCTCCTTTTTTTGCTTGTTTGTTTTTTGTTAGGGTTTTTGAGGGTCTGTGCTGAATTAATTGTGCAAATAATCATTTTCTTTCATTCTAGAAATAAAATTCTTGTCATGTTGTTTCCATTTGTAAGCAAAATTCGGGGAGGTGTGTGTTTGGTTGGTTGGTATTTTTTTATAAATTCTGTGCTTTGAAAAATTTGAATGATCAATAGTTGAAGTACCCAAATCTTATCCATAGACTAGGTCCAGTACTCCATTCTGATAACATGTTTTTAATATCTGCAGTTGATGCCATCTTGAAGAATGTGTGGGTGTTCAAAGCTTCCATATATATGAATATGGGAGAAGTGTTTCAAAATGTTTGCTATAGCTTTTAAATCTAAACATCTAGGCGGTTCATAGCTAATCTCAAGGGTAA